TTTGCGGGTGGTCAGATTAACCTTGCCGCGAAGGTGTCTTCCCAGTATGTCTCCTCGTTGCTGATGTGCGCTCCGTACGCCAAGGAGCCGGTCACCCTGAAGCTGGTGGGCGGAAAGCCCATCTCCCAGCCCTATATCGACATGACCACGGGCCATGATGCGATCTTTCGGCATCGACGTAAAGAAGTCTACCACTGAGGAGCACACCTACCACATTCCTCAGGGCCGTTACGTCAACCCTGCTGAGTATATGGTGGAAAGCGATGCCAGTTCGGCTACTTACCCCCTGGCCATTGCGGCGATCACCGGCACTACCTGCACTGTGCCCAACATCGGTTCCAAGTCCCTCCAGGGTGATGCTCGCTTTGCCGTCGATGTTCTTCGTCCCATGGGCTGTACTGTTGAGCAAACAGACAGCTCCACTACCGTCACTGGAGCCCCTGGGGGTGTCTTGCGACCCCTGCCCAATGTCGATATGGAACCTATGACCGACGCTTTCCTCACGGCTTCCGTGCTCGCGGCTGTCGCACGCGGCGATGGCTCAAACCACACGACCCGGATCTACGGAATTGCCAACCAGCGTGTGAAGGAATGCAACCGTATCAAGGCCATGAAGGACGAACTCGCCAAGTTCGGTGTCGTCTGTCGTGAACATGACGACGGCATTGAGATCGATGGCATTGACCGCACCAGTCTGCGTCAGCCTGCCGGAGGCGTCTTCTGCTACGACGACCACCGCGTCGCGTTCAGCTTCAGCGTTCTTTCTCTCGTCACTCCTCAGTCGACTTTGATTCTGGAGAGAGAATGTGTCGGCAAGACTTGGCCCGGCTGGTGGGACTCTCTGAAGCAGCTGTTCTCCGTGAAGCTGGAGGGTAAGGAGCTGAAAGAGGACGAAGCTGCGGTTCTCACGCAAGCTGAGAAGTCCAGTGCGTCCATTTTCATTATCGGCATGCGTGGCGCGGGAAAGACCACCAGCGGACAGTGGGTTGCAAAGACTCTCAACCGTCCATTCCTTGACCTCGACACCGAGCTTGAGGCTTCGGAGGGAATGAGTATCCCCGACATTATCAAGCAACGTGGGTGGCAGGGTTTCAGAGATGCTGAGCTTAGTCTTTTGCAGCGCACGTTGAAAGACCGCTCAACTGGCTATGTCTTCGCTTGCGGTGGCGGTATCGTGGAGATCCCCGAGGCGAGAAAGTTGCTTACCGATTACCACAAGACCAAGGGTAACGTTCTGCTCATTATGCGGGATATCAAGCACGTCATGGACTTCCTCTCCATTGACAAGACCCGCCCAGCTTATGTTGAAGATATGATGGGAGTCTGGCTGCGCCGGAAGCCCTGGTTCCAGGAGTGCAGCAACATCCAGTATTACAGCCAGACTGCCGTCTCTGGCGGTCTTGCTCGGGCATCTGAAGACTTCAAGCGCTTCCTCCGGACTGTTACCGGAGAGGTCGACAGTCTTAGCAGCATCAAGCGCAAGGAACATTCGTTCTTTGTCTCTTTGACTCTGCCAGATCTCCGTAATGCGAGCGATATTTTGAAGAAGGTATGCGTCGGTTCCGATGCAGTGGAGCTCCGTGTCGATCTTCTGGAAGATCCGACGATGGACGGTGACATTCCTTCCGTCGACTATGTCGCCGAGCAGCTGTCTTTCCTGCGCAGCCACATCACCCTCCCTGTCATCTACACCATCCGCACCAAGAGTCAGGGTGGTCGCTTCCCCGACGACGCCCATGCTGAGGCCTTGGAGCTCTACCGCCTTGCGTTCCGATCTGGACTTGAGTTCGTGGATCTGGAGATTGCTTTCCCCGACGAGATGCTGCGCACCGTCACGGAGCAGAAGGGCTATTCTCGCATCATTGCGTCGCACCACGACCCCAAGGGTGAGCTCTCCTGGAGTAACATGTCGTGGACGAAGTACTACAACCGTGCGTTGGAGTACGGTGATGTTATTAAGCTCGTCGGAGTTGCAAAGAACCTGGACGACAACAACGCTCTGAGAAGCTTCAAGAACTGGGCTGCCAGTGCTCATGATGTTCCCTTGATTGCCATCAACATGGGCGACAACGGACAGCTCAGTCGCATCCTGAACGGCTTCATGACCCCCGTGTCCCACCCTAGCCTTCCGTTCAAGGCGGCACCCGGCCAGCTTTCCGCGGCTGAGATCCGCCGGGGTCTGTCTCTGATGGGAGAGATCCAGCCCAAGAAGTTTGCCGTTTTTGGCACACCCATCTCCCAGTCCCGTTCTCCTGCTCTCCACAACACCCTGTTTGCCCAGAGTGGTCTGCCTCACGAGTACAGCCGCTTGGAAACCGCCAAGGCCGAAGATGTTAAGGACTTCATCCGCTCCCCCAACTTTGGCGGCGCCTCGGTCACGATCCCCCTGAAGCTGGACATCATGCCATTGCTGGACGAGATCGCACCCGACGCCGAAATCATCGGTGCGGTGAACACGATTGTGCCTGTTTCCAGGGGTAAGGGCCAGCCGGCTCGCTTGGTTGGTTACAACACGGACTGGCAGGGCATGACGCTGTCGCTGCGCAACGCGGGTGTGTACGGATGCAGTGGAGACGCCAGCGCCATGGTGGTGGGTGGTGGCGGCACCGCTCGCGCCGCCATCTATGCTCTGCACAACATGGGCTACTCCCCGATCTACATCGTTGGTCGAACCCCCGCAAAGCTTGAGAGTATGGTTCAGACTTTCCCCAGCAGCTACAACATTCGCATCGTCGACACCATCGATGCGCTGGATACGATTCCCAAGGTGGCCATTGGCACGATCCCGGCCGACAAGCCGATCGATTCGGGCATGCGCGAGACGCTGTGCCACATGTTCGCTCGGGCTCAGGAGATTGATGCTGATATTGTCAAGTCTGTGGAGAAGGTGCCTCGCGTGCTGGTGGAAATGGCCTACAAGCCGTCGGTGACGACGCTGATGCAACTGGCCAACGACGCAGGATGGCACACAGTTCCTGGTCTGGAGGTTCTGGTTGGCCAGGGATGGTACCAGGTAGGTTCTGCCGGGTGATTACATGTGATATTGAGTGAAGACTAATGTGGTGTACTAGTACCAACGCTGGACCGGTATCTCGCCTCTCTACGACGATGCCAGGGTGAGTGATTTAATGTGCTGCATCTGATGAGAAAGAAACACTTATGACTGACTGCAAGGATTACAGGAAGCCGTGATCGGATCTCCCGACCCTAACTCGGCATGAAATTCTGCGAAATCAATAATTCCCATGAAGGATCTCGGGTTCTTTTTTCTAAAACCTTATTCTTCTGCCTTCAACGGCGACTTGATATAATTATCAATATTGACTTGATAAAGTGAGCTGGATGATATAAATGGAGTTTTCTTTAATACCTTCAATTATTTTTCCACATTGTAATACTCGGTATGCCCACTAGGAATCTCGTAGACAAAACACAAGCAATACAAAGAGAGCAATACGCGTCCTATACCCACCGTATACCCACCGACTCGCACTCCAACATCGAATATCCATACTCGTATGAGTATAGAGTCGTACGTATTGTTATACGAGATGCGACACGCACCACCTGATCTCCAACAACCCCACAGATTTACACTGATACTGGACTACTAAATTAATTGCCTTATTGATCGATGTCTATCTATCTATAAATAGAAACATCGGAGATATACCTATAATCATACTCTTGACTACAACATAGCCTCATACAAGAATATCAACATCAATAAACATGTCTCAAATAATAATAAACAATATGTATGTAGTAAGTACTCGGCGACTCGACTCGACTAGGCTAGTAAGTAGTAAAACGATTCGCAATCTATATCCACTACTTAGTAACTACTCAGCTAGCCAGATCATTCGTGTATGCAATTCATACATACAACGAAAAAAAGTCAAGTAAGACTCTGACAAGAATCTAGAACCCATGATCAGATAGCAAAACTACTAATTTTATAATTCTAAGCGAAGATGCAGATTTTGAATACTAATACTAAAGCAAGCGGATAAATTAATTCTTTGATGTGCTGGTCAGTTGAGAGAATGTTGGTGGGGGAGTTGGGGTTCTAGACCGACCGGTCGGTCGCGACCGGGGGCGGGCTGGGGGAGTCTGGACCGTCAACCTGCTGCATTCTTTCTACTAAACGTACTACTAAGTTACTTACTATCTAGATGGGGTGTGTAGGAAGAGTCAGGCTGAGGGGGTCATGTGCGCCCCGGGGGGTGGTGAAAATTCTTCGTTGCTAGTAACTAATGTAATGCAGGTTTTGATATGGAGGTAGGTATTCTAGAAGGGTCTTTTGTTATAATTTATTATTGTTATTATTCATAGTATTTCGACGTGTAGAATATACTCGATAGTATATTTTCACTTTGGTAGTTGTTGTTGTGGTAGGTTAAATATATTTTAAGCGTGGGAGGCTGAGTTATTCGGGAGGTAGTAAATAATTGGTGCGCGTATGTCCGATCAAAGGCTTAGTAGTTATTATACATATGCATATAATATTGAACAAAATTAAGAGACATATAATAGTATCAATTGTTCATACTGTATAGTTCAAAGAAACCACAATCTTGTGGCTGGCGGGGTAGTAACTACTAACTATCTAGAGCCCGATAACAATGTGTCACTAAAGTCGTCTGAACAGAGGAAGGTTACTATTTTTAATCATCCATCATCAGATTAGTTATGATCCCGGCCATGACTCGAACGGTTGCTAAAACTATAGAATGTCTCACAAATGTCCCATCAATAATTGATAAGGTGATTCTGATTCATTGTCAGAATTGACTAAGTCAGTCTTAGTAACTATTAGTTCGTTAACTAGCTGTCAATTGATCAGCTGCCACTAAGACATTGGTCACCAGCTGGCACGAGACACTTAGTGGTTTGCTTGCTCAACGGTCGCTCGGTCGGTCGAGAACCTTCGATGGATTCAATTAATCAGTTCGGTTGGGTACCTACATACTTGCAGAAAATAGATACTAGTTTAGTTTAGTGAGTTCGTTATCAAAGTAGTGTAGATTCTGCAATTGCTCCATGGCAGCCCAATCAGCATAATCTTGGGCTGTGGCATCCTTGCGACCGGAGAGAAAAAGTTAAGTCGTGAGTGGATGCGGGTGACCCGTGGTGCCGTGTAGCCGAAACAACACAAGAAACACAGCAGAAAGAGGAGTCAGTCACTAACTAGTGATCGACCGGGCCGATGACCCAACGACTACATACAGTAGTATACTCAGGTCTTGATATCTTTCTAGTATCATCCATGAAAGTAGACTTCACACATTTACTAATTAGGATAAGGGGAATGGGAGATTTCCAGGACTGGTGGATCTGATGATGGATATCTTCACGTCATTAATGCACGCGAGAACCATGTCAAGCCCGGTCGGGGAACCGAAAATCTTAGAAGTCATCGGGCATCGCCTACAGTAGACTCAGTAGATACCCCGAGAAGTTTGTTGCAATCAAGCCAGTGACTCGTGGGACATCGGGGGGGGGAAGTGGGGAGGAGATCCGGAAAAACAGGTTGTAACGGATCAATGAGCCTGCTATCCGGATGTCGGAAAGACAGGATTGCGACTGGGAAGAAGTGGAAGTGGGTAAGAAAAAAAAGCAAATAGTATAACCTATCCGAGTAAGTAGAGAGAGAGAGAGAGAGAGAGAGAGGGCAGGGAGATAGTAGTCCGGGACTAGTCTAAAAGTTAGTGCTTGCAAGGTTTTTCCCTGGACTCGGCTTTGCACGGCCCAAAATTAGAAAAGTTCTAGAAAAGACGTGGAAGAAGTCTATACGGCTGCCCCGAATGGAATTTCGAGCAGACTAAACCGTTTTGGCGTGGCCTTGCATATTCTTGACGTATGGGACCGGCGGACGTTACGATAAAATACGCCGTACGGACGGAGTACGTGGCCCGAGTTACGCCCTAGTGTCTGGCCGCGGAGAATCCTGAATGGAGAAAAGGCGATGAACTGGCAACCCGGGTGTGGCTGTGCGCATGACCCCAGCCAATCACACGTCTGGCTTTATCCCTGAGCAGCTGCAGGGGGAAAAGAAAGGGATCATGGAATCCCGAGAGAAGAATTTTCTCTCCCTTCCATGCATTAGTCTGTCACTAGTTGCGTCCGTTAGCATGTGGCAGGCAGGGGAGTCTGGCACACTGTCGTCCGGGTTGCTGGTACGTGCTACTAGCCCGAGATCGTCGCCCCGTGCGAGCATAGAGTGCTGACTGGGCATTCCCCCCCTACCAATGAAAATTTTTTCACTGCCGTCTAAGGCCTTTCATAATGCACTTTGTCTTGCAGGGTTCCTGACGAAGGATTGGTCCGATCGCCCTTGTAGCACATGGCGTGGCTTTCAACTGGAAAAAATCTAAAATTGACTTTGGTGGTTGTTGTTCGGCTACATACGTCGGCAGTAGGGTTAGACGCTTTCTTCCGACAACGAGTGGAAGTGGTGATGTCTTGCATTACGAGCTGAAACTTTCTGATCTCCATGCTCAACTGATTCAGTCTTGGGGGCTCCATGACATCTGTCAAATCATGTAGCTCCATTGACGTCGGATCACGGTCTTCCTCCCTTTGCCCCGGCCGGGGGAGAGGGGCTTTCCAGATACCCGTCCCTCAGACCCGCTGGGGTCCCATCCAGGTAAAACACTGGATATCAACGCCCGGGACAATTGGGGCAAATTGTCTACCCCAGCTAGATCCAACCAGCGAAGGCTGGGGTCTTCCATGTTCCGGCTGTCTTTTGCTTACGGACGACATCCGCGATACAGAGTAGAAAAGATCGTACATGGTATAGGTGTAGGCCGCAGGATTAATGCTACGGCTGAATGCAGACGATCCAGCCAGCTGGGTCAGAGATAGTGGCACCCCGGAGCAGAGCAGAGCTCATTTGCTGTTACCTAAACTCGAGCTTTAAGTCTTTTGCCACCAGTTTCAGCTGTCTCGTCTACCCATGTGGTGGGCCCGCAAGTTTGGGGCTTTTGTTTTGGGGTCCTTGCCAGGGCTCGGTGACCATAGCTTAGTTGGAATGGAGTCGTAGTGGAACCTCGTGGCTTGAAGCCAAAAGGTAGTTGCATTTAACCCTTCCCAATCACAGGTGTCAATGTACCAGAATGGTCGAGCGCGTGTGGACCGGAATCAACGCCCGTCCCTCCACGTTGCGTACTTTCGTATATGAGGCGGCCACGCGTAGAAAACCAAGATGAAAAATTTTTTGCAGGGCAAGCAGGAACGTGCCAATAACCTTAGAATCTTGCTTTTTGCATGTGAAAGCGATAGCACAATCTAGATTGTGGAAAGGGAGACCTTTCCACCAGTCACACCACTACCACCGCAAGTCACCTCACATTGTTTTTGCACTGGGTGTAATCCAGCAGTATGATTTGCAATTGCCTAAGGGGCGAAAAAAAAAAGATTGCGTATTCGTAATCGTGCGACTGGGAATCATTGCAGAGATGACTCTTGTAAATACTAGCTAAGACTAATTCAGAAGACAATGACTCAACGCCAGATGTAACTAGATGCGACTCGGATGGTCCCAACGGGAATGACTTCCTCCGATATAGGACATGTGCTGCTTCGGTTAGCGCGCAGGACCGTGGAACACTCAAGACATAACCTGTCATGCCATGCTAAGAGCATCAGCTGACCCGATCACGCGTGGAGAGAAAAAGAGTAAGTAGATGCATTGCTGCAAGAGAGAAACCAAGTTTGCTGCATGGCAGGGCTGCTGGGGGGAAGAAGGGAAAGAGGAGGGACCACCGGCCGAGAACCAGTTCGGAACAGATGTGCCGTGAAAATCAGGCTGCTAGCGTTGGAGGCAGCACTAAGGCACCTCGGCCCAGCTACCCTGTCCAGTTGCAGTTTTCTGCGTCGGCGATACGCAGTCTCCGAGGCCGGGGTCATCCTCTTGGCGCCGGCGTATGCCCGATCTTTTCCCGGCCCAGACAGTTCTCGACCGTCTCAACGTTCAACATGACCGACCACATTATCAAATTCTCTCTTACAATTGCTGACAAGCGTGGGTGGAATGCAGTAGTGTCTGCCAGAAGCATCTTGTGACGGGTTTGATTCGGGCAACTCCGTGAAGTTTCGCGGCCGACCGATTACTATTGTTCATGCGGTGGATGATGAGTGGATTACTAAGGTGTAACTAGCCATGAGACATGCACTAGCCACATCATAGTGACATTGTGGCGCAGGCAGCCTGTGGCTTGTGGGGGTGCCTGTTCGCGTTGGCACCCTATCGAACTAGTTTTTGTCTGTATCGATGATCGGCAACTACGGAGCAGACCCTGATGCATCGTCCAGCCAGGGCAGGCAATGCTGAAGAAAGGATCTTCAGCTTTTCTTGCTTGCCGCGCACCGACTCCTTCCCACTCCTTTTTTTGTTGGTCGTACATGTCATCTGTAAGGGTTTTTCTCTCTTGGTGGTCCGATCGCAAGACAACACGAGATCGGTTTTTGGTTCTGCATTGCTTCTGAGATGCACATGTTTTACTTAAGCAACGGGATTGTGGCTGAGTCGTGTCCCATTGGCTGCCTCGGATCCAGACGAGGAAAAACTAAAAACCACAAAATAAAACAAACGATGCCTTTTTGACACACGGTGGAGTCCCAGTCTGGTGTTTTGGTGCGACTAACGGATTACTAGTCTACCCGACTATATCGGACTTGTAGCCCTGTGTAGACTGGTAGGGATTTATCAGATAGATTAATTACTGCGAACTAACCAGTAGCTGAAGGATCCCTGCCAGTCCTACAGTATACCGTACTAAGTTGGTGTACTCATGTCAACTTCTTTTTCTGCCTGGAACAAATTAGAACTATTCTGAATAATAGTGAATTCAAGAAACTGCCAGAAATTTCTGACCCCGTAACATGCGAGATATTTCGGGTCAGTCAATGCCTGGACTTATCGGACGATACAGCTGAGGGTTTAGCGGGTGCAGAAGTTTACTAAGTTGGTAGTGCAGGCATGCTGAAGGGGGAAGAGGGGAAAGCCAAAAAAAAAATAAAACCCACCAAAACCAATGAGAAAAAGAAAAATACCCACTTGGGGACTGGAAGAGTGTGGCTTGGGGGCTTCTTCGGGGGTGGGACCGCATTGGATAACCAGCTCCCCGGAGATGCAGATCGAGTGCAAGCCAAAGTGGGTCTCTGCCTGGTGGTAAGGCAGGTAACTTTTACGTGTTCGACCGGTACGTACGGGTATGACGGAGTAAAGTATGAGAGATGGGTTGAATATGTTACCGAGCAGCCAGTGGACGCTTAACCCGATCGGGCGAAAAATATTAATCGAGTCAGAGAGGAAAGCGATCGTCGGGCTTGTCCGTTAGTTTAGTGACTTACTTACTGTCCGGGACTGACTGACTGAAAATGCGCAGCAACGTCATCTCCATAATAAAAGAGCCATCCTCCTCCCCCTCCGCTTCAGCTATGCTCTCCCTTTCCCCTCCCATCATTATCTCTCAATTTAAAATCATCCCAATTGATGACTCTTTTACATCAGTCTTGTTCATCTTATTAAATACCCTGGTCTGCCACTCCACCCCGACCGGTCTTCCCTCTTACATCAAACTTCCCCCTTCTACAGTTGGTGTTCCCTCCCACCCCCCAATACCCGTGGTCCGATCTACAGTAAGTTGGCTCGTACCAATCTTACCCCATCCTTACGTTGTTCACTACTCTTGTTCTTCTTCCCGTTCTTCTTACCTGGTCTTTGCATCATTGGATCAGATTGAGTCTAACCAGGCCTTTCTTCATCTCTAGCTTTTGTCCTTACCAAGGGTTTCTCACCGACAAAGCCTTCACTCTCGACCTTCCCGTCTTCCTGATTGGACCTCCCACTACTCGACGTTTCCAGACTCTTCGACACGCATTGCCTGTCTACTTTTGAATCTCCGGATCATTCCGTTTCGCTGTTCTCGTTTGACTCATTTCTCCGGTTGGCACGCTTCGCACTCATACGCTTGGCCCCTTGAAAGAGTTTAGTGGGGGCCGCTGGTGCCAACAACCTACCTACCTATATTATAACCTTCAGTCGACACCCGGTGGCAAATTCCGTGTCTATACCTGCCCACCACCCCCCCGTCGGCGTCATTCTCCCTTTGACGTCCAATCGCGAACAAGCACATTATGTTCATGCACCCTGCTGCACGTAAGGGTTTGATCACTGAACCAACTTCCATCCCGTATCTCAACTACCAAGATCCCGTTTGCATACAAGACGACCAGATCCTCGACTACTCTCAAGAGACCGCTCTCCACTTTCTCGGCCAACAACAACCTCGACTGCAGACTCCTTTCCAGTACCAGCCGGATTTGCAGTTCGTCTCTCCGCCGTCTTCCGCTCCCTCCTCCCCTACTTCCTCACCCGCCTCCACCATTTCCCACTATCCTGCGACAACAGCGGTTGCCGCAGATTACTCTTCTGCCGTCTTTGACGGCAATTCCTTCGAGGCCCCTTCGATGACACCTTCTTCCTCCTACAACCCTTCCATCAACATCCATCACTCGGCATCACCACCTTCACAAGCCTACCTTCCCCAATATACTCAGCCCTACTACTTCAACGGTAACCCGATGTTGGCACAACAATCTGTCGCGAACAACCACGGTTGGGAAGGCAACTTGCAGCTGTTGGGCCCAGCTCGCCTCCAGAACAATCTACTGAAAGCCTCTGCTAGTCCATCATCGAGCCGATCTGCACCTGCTGGCAGTTCTTACTCGAGGACAAACGGTGTGGCCAAGCCTCTGCCTACCCCCGTCCAGACCCCCGTCCAGACCTTCCAAGATGGTAGCCAGACCGACGCCGATCTTGCTATGAGACGGGCCTTTCTAGAGCAGCAGCAGCAACAGCAACAGCAACAGCAAAAGCAATCTCGTCACCAGCATCAGTCTAGCGACTACTCACTAGCGCCTTCTGTATCGAGCGTGAGTCACAACTCGCCAGTGACTCCTCACACGGGCTTCGAAGACCTCGATGACGCATCGAAGGCGATTGTAAATGGTGAGAACCGGTTTCCCGACGTAGACAAGTGGATGGATGATTACTTACGCCTCGATGCGCTTTCAGACTACACCAACCACAACGCGAACAACAACATGACCATTGGCATTCCCAAGCTCAACCGCACGATTTCCGACATTTACCAGGACGAGCTTTACAACCCCGCCATGATGTCTACTCCGCAGATGGCTAAGCCCGCGACGAACCAGCAAAATCTCCTGACACCGTCGTTCCGGAATGTGATTGCCGATCGCCTTCAGGCTGCCAACCAGGGCCACTTGACCGCACGGTCCCAGTCTCCCATGGTGAGCATGCCGCGCGATCGCTCGCCCTTCCGTCAGAACTCTCCCCTGGCCGCTGAGTACAACCATGCGGCCTTGCAACAGCCTCAGATGGCCACTAGCGCCCCTACATCCCAAAATGGGGTGAACATGGGCCAGGCGGCTCAGGGAGAGCCCAAGACGATGTCTCCCAAGGATGCACTGTTGGACTTCAACGAGGGCGACGATACTGGATTGCCTCTGTTCCCCCCTTCGTCACAGCCCGACTTCAATCTGGGCGATGCGCTGGGCGGACTCCGTCGGGAGAGTTCCGGCTCATTCCAGCCGACTCAAAACTTCACATCGATGGAGTCGTTCCCCAGCCAGTACGCTACGCAGGGTACATCCCAGCAGTTCCCCTTTGGTCAACAGCAGCAGAATCACCGCCAGCCACAGCAACATAACACCAATCTGCTGCACCAGACTCCCGAGTTCCCCGCATCTCTTCCTCGGTTCGACTCTACGGGTAGTGATGTGCTGCCCTCGACTGAGATGACCTCCCCACAGGCATCGGCGAAGATGCCGATGCAGGCACCGCCGGTCAAGGAAGAGATCAGTCGACCGGAAAATACCTCGGCCGACGGAGGTACCTACACCTGCACATACCACGGCTGCACCCTACGCTTTGAGACTCCGGCCAAGCTACAAAAGCACAAGCGTGAGGCGCACCGTCAGACCACCCCTGGCGGTCATCTGGTCACTCGCGATACGTCGGCCCGCAATTCGCAGGCCGGACCACACAAGTGTGAGCGCATCAATCCGTCTACGGGCAAGCCGTGCAACTCTGTGTTCTCACGGCCCTACGATCTTACACGGCACGAGGACACGATCCACAATGCTCGCAAGCAAAAGGTGCGGTGTCATCTGTGCACGGAGGAGAAGACCTTCTCGCGCAATGATGCGCTCACCCGGCACATGCGCGTGGTGCATCCGGAGGTTGACTGGCCCGGCAAGCAACGGCGCAGAGGGCGGGAGTGAAGCTTGAGTGGATCAGCTCCAGTTTCCAGCCCCCCTTCTTTTTTTTCCCTTCCCCCACTCCTCCCTCTCTGAATTCCAATTGAGAGGTAAGCCAGGGGGGGGGGGGTGTGCGGAGGATGGGGATGGTGAGTGCCATTCAGCAGCCCCGGCGGTGACAGCATGAGATCCACCGTGTTTCCCTCACCATGACGGATCCCAAAAGCCTCCGACGTCATGGGCTAGTCCCCTTCAGGCAAGGACTCGCTAACGGGGCCGGATCAACGGTCGCACCTGCTTCATAGGGCAGGTGTGGTGCACCCAATACAGCATCCATGACGTCATGGCTGCACCCTTTAGGACGGGCGGCCCGCCCGTGGACCAATCAGCGGGCCGATGACGTATCGATCTCTTTTTCAGCGAACGAGCAGGCCTATTATTGCTTCTTTGGGCTTCTTTCTTTTGCGATGCTTTTCTTTGTTTTGCATTACATGCCATGGGTCTTAGATTTCTTTTGTCATTATTCATCATCTGTGATGTGAAAGGTGTTGCTGTGGATATTCTTCTCATTGGGTCACGGTGGTTTCGGAAATGGGGTTTGCATCAAAAAAAAGACTCTTCTTTTTGCGCGTGTGTATATGCAAAGGTCCCGTGTGTTGCGTGTGCGTTTTCTTTCCAGCCAGCTTGTTACGAATTCCTGGGGTTTTTACGCTTTGTACTATACTGTCCCCTGTATGATTGTTACGTGACGAGAGATTTATTGCTGCAGCTGTTTTTCTTTGCATTGGGTTGGCATGGATTTGGTGACGGGTTTGGCGCGCAGATTGTGATGAAAAACTTGTACAGTATCGAAATGTATACATATATCGTGAAAGACATATATCATATTATGATGGCTACTTTTTCTTTTTTTTTTTTTTCTTTAGTTTGCCTACTTTAAGAGTATTGTTTCAGAAAATAGGGGCTATCGGGACCTGTCAGCCCTGAAAGCTCTCGATAATTTGGAGCTCTAGCGAAGAAGCTATGAACATTTGCTGCACACTGCACGGTGACCGGTGTCATCGGCAGGTACCCAACAGCTACAAAAGTAAGACATTGAAGCCCAAACATACAATAGTCAACTCTAATAATAATGATAATAGTATTAAATACTGATTTACCATTATATGCACAAGGTAGACGTAGTGGTACCTTTGTGGTTTCGGCAAAAAATGAACTGAAATTGGAAAGCCAGTAGATATGACATCATACATATGCACCCCTGTCCGGTAGAACTACGGAGTAATGCATGGCATCACCATACATACATACATACATCATTTCATACAAAACATGCATGTCTCTGGAAATTCTTTCCAATTCTTTTCTTTCCTTGCTTCATTTATAATTCTCCGAAGTAGGATTTTTTTTTTTACCTGTGGCGGTGCAAGATAATTGAAATGTAGGTACTTTTGTTTGACTCGTACCAGAAGTTTGTGTGGATTAGTTATGGATAATGAGTTAATGTTAGTTAGTCAGTGGGATTGGGGATTAGTAACTAACTAATTCATCAATAACAAAATAGGTTAGCTTACTTTGTAAGTAAATAACAAAGCTTCAATTGAAAGATTTGAGTAAATACGAATTATCTGAATTGCTATTGTTATAGTAGTACTCTTTTACTCCTAGTTTACGGAGTTTATGCTTATGTGTGTGTATATGACTGAGCTAGTTACCTAGAATGTAAACCCACTGACTCAACTCACCAGTCACCACACATTTCCGAGGTCAGGAAATCCTTCCCCACATAGTTGATGGGGTTAATCCCTTCCCCCCCTCTTTTCTTTTCTTTGGGGTGGGTGGGGGGGGGAAAGGATCCACAGTAAATCAGTTACTTTGTTCAGTCCACTTTGAAGGGGTCCCCGTTGGTATTTTCTGTGGTTCTGTTTTATCGGTCGGTTATCCACTCTAATTTGAGGGAAATCGGGAACTTCGTCGCATAGTTTTGTGTTTCGTATCAGGTTGGTGGGGAGGGGGTTGGATGGGATCTACATACATACATCGTACACAGTATCTGATTTACACTCTTGACTATTGTTTTTGTTATACGTGATTGAAATCACGTATGTACACTCTTTTATTCAAGTAAATGGTTAGTAGAACTACTTTCGTAATTAGACACTTTTTTGTACCGTTTGATTTCTATACCCTTGAGTATCTTGAATACTACCACTCATCACAATAACAACAGATTCTTCTTTATTAAAATTTGACCGCAGAATTCATTCCGCAGGGACGATCATGGAGGAGGCGGGCGCGACGAGGCTGAAGCTGGAGACCATCGCGGTGACTGCCCATTTCCGGCTGAGACTCCAATCTTAGGGTTTGTGGGGTTGTCGCAGCCATCCTAGGTTACTAGATTGGGAGCAGGTCTGCGCTCTGGATGTGGTTCTAGGTTGTATTCCTGTTAGGGTTCCCGGATAGGACGATCGTCTTTGCCATGAATTTCATCGGTTGTAGTTGCTCCAGCATCGCGGCTATCGTTAGTTTCCGGCTGCTCTTGCTCCTGGGGTAGATTCATTGTGAACACTTGCAAGAACTGATACCCCGGGTCGACCTGTCCCTACCACCTGACACAGTCTCATCTCTGGATAGCGTAACATGCTGACTGAGCATGAAACGCAGTATGCTCCCAAATACTTGTTCGTGCTGTCTCCGATGAAGCAGGCAGCCGGGTCTTCTGTGCTGAGTTTATGAGAGGCCAAATAATCTTTCTACTGGAGTTAAGTATGATACAGCTCCAAGAGCATCCTTTGCTGGGGGTCCAGGCTGGCGGTCTCTTTGGGTAGTGATTTTGCGAAAAGCATTGTCAAAACGTTTGTTATCGACGTTCTCGAAGAATTTGCTTTTCGCCAAAGGATCGCCCTGTAAGACCCGATAGCTCTGGCTGTGGTGAAACCCTCAGAAGGTACTTCTTCGTGAGAACCATGGCTCCTAGCAAGCATGGCTCAGAACTCCTCGGAATTATTCCGACAGGAAAGACCCATAACTGCATAGCAGACTGGGAAACCTCCAGTGGGCTGATGGGGGAGGCTATCTGGATTTTGGATTGAGGGTCAGAGACAAGCAATCGATTGGCTTTGAATTTGGAAGTGTTGAGGTGCTGCTTATTGAACGGCAACATAGGCACAGAGTCACTAGAACCCTAGAGGACGAGTCGGTGGACTGGACGTCCTGACGCCACGAGATCGAGGGAGTTCAGAGAGCACAGGCCGTACCAATCTCAGCAGGAGGCAAGTATCATGATATTCGATCCTCTATAAGTTCGGCATCGGTTGATACTTCTCCAGTCATGTTCGAGCGCACGGTTAATTGCAGACGGCTGTCCCGGGGCAACCAAAACAGCGATGGGTTGCGGTTTAGAATGTCCATAGATTCTGGAACACATGACTGTGCTCTGGGGTATGAGCCTATTATCCACCTTGTCTACCGGTTATTCAGGTTCACGACAATAGCTATACAAGGCCGATGTAGACTTCGAGTCCTCACAAAGCTGAGAGAACTGGGTTCTGTGATGCACGGGACATATGTCTGGCCTCGATAGCATTCTTTAGTCATTGGTACATCAAGCTTGACTCCTTGTTGTAAGGATATAAGCACTTACATGCGGAAACTTACCAAGTGACTCCGCCGCTTGCCATTCATACTTCAGTCGAATGGTCAACACGATGGTCTCGCTCGAGGTTGAACCGTCAAACCCCTCCATGTACGCCCCAAGGCCTTTCGCTATCCGCGATAACACCGCATCTTTGGCCATAACTTGCCTTTCAATTTGTGCACAGGCAAGAGAAGGAGCAGGCAGCGCGCCTCCTTACCTCCCATGAAACTCTCCCGCTCCTCGTACCTGTGTAATAAAATCGACAAAAGACGCCACAGAAGTCCAGGTAGTGCAGGTACTCTCCCAGATGATGAATAATGAGCTAGGACAGGGTGACAATGCCCGTCCTGGTCTCACAGACTGGGGGCCAGGTAACCCCCATTGGCCCAGTCTGCCAGCAGGAGCACATTGAAAAATGTCTCTGTCAATTCTACTCGCCAAGCAGGTTCCGAAAGGTTTCGTTCTGGCTCTGGTGTGTCGTGAAGGAGCAAAGAATTGGACCGTGTATGGCAGCAAGATCGTAGCGCAAGTAGCTCTAGGAGTTCAATCTGCAAGAAGGGCAAGCGGACATAGTTATCCAGTTCATGGGTAAAATAACCGACCAAGAATTGTCCAAGGGGGGGGGGGGCTGCTTACGGCCAGAACAAAGGGCAATTTCAAGAAGCATATCCCACATCCTGGGATCAGTAGTGGCCAGTTTTCAACCAACAGCCTTGATGATGATGGCCTGTATATGTACGAGTCAAAGGTGCTCCAAACCAGGCTTGCTAATCGGACGATATAGATATAGGGTTGAATGGTTGAATTGCTGAAATGACGCGTTGATGTCGCGCTGCTAGGAGCTGGCATTGTTAGTATAGTAATAACAATCTTGCCGATATTCAAGAGGAGGGGTGTGGGTGATTACAGCCTCATTGTCTGCCTACACTGAATGTCAGGAAATCTGTCAGAGATATTGATGGATAATTGATTGTCAGTCAATGATTCTGCATGTTGAAATCTGTCTGAATAAAGGAAGATGGAAGGGAGAAGCGGCCGTGGAGGGAAATTGATCAGGTGATCCACCTCTCTGGCACGAACAGAATGCATGAACTGCATCATGGGAATCGATTTCAATGAGTTCTGGTTATATCCATCTGTTTGTAAAGAGGCTACATCATCAGCAGCTACTAATTGACTCCATCGGCACCACTGCTTGAGCTATATAAAATTAGACTTACCAACACTGTTTACACGCTTTGAAGGGCGTGTAACAGCACAGAATAGAGTCGCTGAATGATTCAAAACGGATAACTAAGTCATTCCATACCTTGACACGAAGATAGTCCAGTAGTAAGTAGAACTAGCATTGCTGCTTCCCCATTACAACCACCCACATATACCTCCATCCTTCCCGCTTCAACCTCACCTCATGCCTTCACAACACCACGGATGGGCCCAAAAAGGCCAGTGGAAGAATGCCAGTATGAACTCTCCTACCTTTGTTCAAGTGCCCGATACAGCGAAGGTCCTGCAAGCGGAAAACAACGCCCCAAACAGCGCACCCAGCGCCGCATTGGCAGCCAGCACGCTGATACAGACGTACCGTGCAGATCGGATGCATCTACAAGATATTATTCTTCGTAGGGAGACGGGTGGGGATGGGAATTGCTCCTACAATCCCCGTTTCGGTGAGGGGGGCAATTCAATGGATACGTTCGCACGCTGACCAGCCGTAGAGAAACAGGCTGATAGGAAGGAGCCAACGCCTTTATCTAACTCCAAAATTAAGACGATGAGCGGCTCATTGAGTTGGTCTTGGGGGGGGGGGGCGAGGCACGGAAGTCGGATAGAATATGGGGAAACTTCTGGTACAATGATGATGGTCCCGGAGTTGCTAGAGTGATTTCAGTCATAGACCTTTTGTACAGCATATACATCAAGGCAATATGAATGACAATTGACCATTTTCGCCAAAGTGGCCACCGTATTGGATCGGTCACAGTCTCCTGCTGTTCTTCCCCGCATGGAGTGATTTCAAAATTCTTGGGCTTCATCTCACAGCAGGCTTCCGAGGCGGATGGATAGTGAGCCATCTGCTCAGGTCTACAGTTATCCATCTAAACCCGGAATAATTGTATGTACTGGAGGGTATGGGGAGAGAGGGCAGCGGTCTTTGGGGTTGAGAAGTTCTTATAGTTAGTAGATGCATGCCACCAGCGCTGATGCTTAGTGCAAGATCTAGGTCACCATAGGCTACTAATCACATTCACTCAATAACTAATCATGGTCAACACCCCGAAGTAAGCAAGATATGTAACTACTACACGGACCCTGGTCATTCTCCATCTCGGTTAGTTATTAGGCCCTTACTCCGGTCGCTTAGCCACGACGACCACCCGCGGAAATGAAAGGGCGGCCCCATTAACCGACTCCTGATAGCCAGCCTGGATGAGCTGGGTGAATCTCGCCGCAGCCTTGTGTTGGCCCTGGCCTGCCAGTCTAGCGGCAAACTCCTCCATGGTCAACAAATGCAGATCGTTAAAGGCCCGAACCATCTCCGGAGGTTCATCGTAGTGATCGATGGTCACTTCCTGGAAGCCAACTTCAGCCAACAGCCGCGGCAGATCCAAAGCCCAATCATGGCGACCATCAGCATGCGAACCCACACGGATCTCCTCCAAGGCCGGTGCAGCAATGGACGGATCCGTCTTCTTGATGCACAGGTTGGCACAATTCAGCTCATCCCACTGGAGATAACCCCCGGGCTTGACTAGCTGGAAGAGCCGTCGGATAACCGGCATCGGATCCAGCCCGGATAAAATCAACACTAATAGTCGGACGTGCACGAGGTCATACTGCTCCTGCAGTTGCTGGGGTACCGGAGTGAATAGGTCCCAGTGATCAAGATGGATGTTGGACGGCAGCCACCCAGAATGTGGTGCTTGGGTGAGATCGATATCTAACCCGTCCAGCTGGAGGTTTTCGTTGGTATGGTGAAACTCGTGGGCCACATCGATCAGCCAGAGGGCCGTGCCGCAAGCTACATCGACCACTTTTTTAAGCGCCGCTGGTGTGGTGGAAATTGAAGGGTGGATGCTGTAGCCAAATACTTGCCGCCATAGGAAGTGCTGCACGTGTAGGCGGATTACCGACCGGTGGTTTTGTTGAAGAGCATAGCCTAGCCCGTCTGCCAGATGAAAGCTGGCTGGGGAGGTAGAGGGGGGCATGGAGGGTGAGTCAGAGCTAGGCATCGTGCTCGGGAAATATTCATGGAAAGACTCGAGTCCGGACAGTAGTCGAACTTCCACTAGATTATTTATCTAGGATCATAGCTTCGTCCACCCTCGGCTGGCTGGTTCTTTTGAGGAGACAAACGTTACATTATGTCGGGATCACACACGACTAAAAGGCTTAGTATACATTAGCCCGTGTTCTGCCTGTTCTCGCTCGCTCCGTAGGTATTGCAACCAGCCAATCAAGTGAATGGTACAGGGTAGACGAGCAAAAGATAAGCCAATGGCTGCATGCTTAGCTCGTCCTTAGAAGTCACAGCCTTGTTCCTGGGCTCACCTCATCTCGATAAGCGGCAAATGTTGCGAGGACTGGCTCCTATGCTGCACCAAGATGGAGCCCAGGGAGCTTGACATCCGTCTTTTCCGGCCACTGTTCTCTACTGGAGTGACTCTCTGGTCTGCTGATGAGGGCAATATCGGTCTTTTCCGCTCGAAGACGATAGTGATGGTCTTTGTCAGGGCCGTATGGAGTCACATGGTTGGCAGACATGACGCAATCTGTGCCAGCCCGAATACAATCATACTCCAGTACAAAATTATTATCGAAGCCTCTGCAGGGGCTTTAGTAATTCTTGGATCGTGAGAGGAAAGGGGAAAACGTACAATGCACGTCGGTATGTGCCGCATAAGATCCGTTGGTAGTCTGTCCTTGGACAATGAGCCGCACAGCGGCAGCTGCGACGGATCTAGCAGTTCATTCAGCTGATTATGTGCAGATGCCTTAATGAGGGAAGTTACTGACTTACATGGTAGATTATAGTAGGACTCCCGCCGCGGCTAACTTGTGTCCGAATTTCATCTGCGTCCACCATACCTAAGGGAAATCAGTGAGCAACAAGTCGGGGCTATTAGTCCAGACTGAGCATTTCACTCGCCATATACACTGGTAGGATTCAGATGAGCATGTTTGTGATCAGGTCCATGTTCATCATCGCCTCCAGGCGTGCATTAGTGTTGCGGCTACCAATCATGCCCAGCGGCTCCCAAGGATAAGCGAAGTGTCGTCCGCAGCCATAGATAGTCGGGAAGAAGAAGGCAATGGTCTAAAAAGCACAGAGCCTGACCACAGCCCAACTAATCAGGCCAAAAAGCCTCTCTTGGTCCTGTGCAAGAAATCGACGATACAGAAAGAGCGAGCTCATCTTGCTCAGTCCATTAGCCGAGGTCATCAGGGCCCAAGTGATCCAATCCACCTGTATCAATACGATATACGAGCCAGATACGCCAAGAAGAGGGATGGTAGATGAAAGAGGTCGAAAGATGCGCTTTACCAGCTCGACTATCCTTTGGGACTCCGAGAATTCAGTCAAGTCGGCCTCTTCGCCTGAAAAGGGTGGAGTGGAGTATCCCAATGCATATTTGACGACGCCTGGACCCAATTGATTGATGTATGTTAGGGACCTTGAACACACATAGGAAATACCCTTGGGGGATATCTACACCACACATATCGGCACAGCGCTCATGACTGTAAAAAAGACCTTTTTCACCCGATCTCATCAGTTTTTCTTTTTTCTCAGCCCCAGTTGAGATTGAGCGTTCCAAGTATGGTAAGTGCCCTTATACTTCGGAATAGGACACCCACGACCCTTTTGAAAAGGCCATACAGCTGTCTTCGACATTCTTGACGAAAAAGATTTTTGGATTTTGGAAACAACTGCGAGATACAACCGGCTGCCATTACGTACCAGCGTTACTGGCCAGCTTCTCGGGCCAGGGTCAATGATACACCGTCACCCAGATAGGGTCAGATGTGCAAGGCTCCTTGTAAAGCACTACTATTCCTGCCATCATACTGAACCCCGATATGCCATGAATCAAGTGCTCCAATCCATGTGCGTTGAAGTCTTCCTTGTCGGGTCCCGAGGATTACGATAAGTGGAAGCGTGTTATTCTATCAGTCAACTTTCTGGTAGCAGACGACTCGCTCTACAATTCCGCGCGGCTCCACGCGGGATAATTTACCTCATGCGTGACCGGTTTCGTCCCCTGAGCCAGGCCGTGATTCAAGTCACCTAGTGCCTGGGTGCGGAATAGTCTTCGGGCTTTGAAGCTGAATATGAGCAAATAGTGGCGGAGCTGTAATATAGGTAAGCATTTTAGGTTTTGTCTAATTATTCACGTATGTTGGACGGATGGAATAAAGCATTTGGCCGGTAAACGTGGCGTAGGTGTCGCATCCACTCCATCGACTGGAAGGGGACTGCTTGATCTGGGGCGGTCTATTCATCGAAGTTGTCGAGTGAAGTGCGTGCACTTCTCTCGGTCCTGTGCCTCCCTTAGTTTGGCCTTACACACAAAGCATGATGTTAGCCAGGCTGGATAACCCTGCACTTCCTCAGGAGACCGAGAGTTGGCCTCCCTTTTGCTCCAGCCAATGCACATGATAAAATAGCGACCAATGCTTCCTGCACAGTCTATCCGTTCCTCGGCCCTGTAAAGGGCTGGGAAATCCTATGGTGCAGTATTCGCTGGGCAGTTCTAGCCAGAGAAAAGAGGTGCATCGGGCTCGAAAGCCAACCGGCCATCTAATTCCCGTTCATCCTGGATGAACCTCAACACGCCTGATGCCCATGTGCTTGAATGGTCTTGGGACAGGCGTGACAGTTATCTTGTGATTGTCCGCATGGGTAGTATGGCGCCGGTCGCTGATAAAACTACGGCGTTTTCTGTACTTTCCAAGACGCGCTAACACGGCTTAAAGTCATGTCGGAATAGAAAGCTGTCCTAGTTGAGCTCGACACTATCAAATGAGCTGGGTACACAGCCGACCACCGGAAGTTGGATGACTCCTTTATGCGCTCTGGGCTTGCTACATATCTTCCAGAATTGCTTCCCTTTTTTCATGTCAGCATGCTTGCTGCGATTTGAATTGCATGGTCCATAATTCCTTCGACACCCGGACTATCGTTGGCGCCATGAACCAAATAGTAGATGAAGCGAAGTGGATCTGTGTGCTCGCGATCCTGCACTTGGCTGTTCTGGGACCATTTGTAGTAATGCGTAGAAGTAAGGTCGGTCTAGAAACAATTTGCTTGACGACCTGCTGCGAAAGGCCCCACGCCAGAGGTCTTGGTTACCCCCACCGATGATAACCCGATAGTCTTGATCATAGTTCAAATTCGGCCAGTTGAAATATCTGCGAATGGTTTTCCAATGTGCTTTCTGTCAGCACGGGTGATATATTGTTCTAGGGAAGCTGCTACATGTGTGAGGTGGACTTGTTAGTCACGATGGAATTGCGAGGTTAGTGTAGGGAGGCACTACAGGAAGATGCGGCGATGTCGATAGTATGCAAGATCGACGGGTTGAAGTCCCCTGGCTTATGCCTACAATAGCTTTCACATGGGATAGGCCCCTGACGGTTTATTCGCGGCACCTTCGGGGGGAAACTGGACCGTGATCTCTGATACTGTGGCTTTACAATCCTGATAATGACGGCTTGGTGCATGCCGATCAGTTTGCAAGCACTTGGCCGGTCTAGTCCCTCCTGTTGCGTCATGATGATTGGTGTCTTGCGTACGCCGTCAAGTGAGAATCCGGCCAACCAGCCTTTCGCGTGTAGTAGTGGTTCGGTTCAGGCATTCGCATAAAACTTGAACTCAGTCTCAATGAATAATCGTCAACCCTTATACTTCATATGATCAGGGATGTAGACAGACATTCGTGGGTTTATTGGCGGGATCAGCAGCCGGCTGTTCTATGGCAAGTGGAATCTCGCGATTGAAGTATGGGTTAATGCACTAAATTCAAGACAAGAGACGCGGATCAATATCGTCGGAATGTTCTGACCACGAGAACTAATGACGTAGCCCTGGATATGTTTGTCGCACCAACACTTGTCCCCGTCTGTTTCATGCTTCCAGACCGTGTATCACCCAAGGCCAAACGACCGCATGGTCTGATCCGTTTTTGCAAACATGAGTTCTGTTCCCGATTTAGCATGCGCTGGCGAACGGCATCCATTTTGACCTCGCCCGGTGTGATCCACACGCGCTGCTTGATTGAAGCGTTCCGTGCTGTTTCCGGGGACTTGCGGACAGAGCACATAATAAACCTTCGGGAAACTAATTTGTCCGTATCCTGTGGTTTCTTGGAATTCATCATGGCCCTTGCTGGCTGGTAGTCGTTCCTCTTGTTTTGTGGTCGGTTTTCGCCCCATCAGCGCTGGTTCCCATTGACAAGTCCGGATTGTATTCCCCAACATCCTTTGTGTGTGGATGCGTCCGCTGTGTCTGCTCCTCGCATTTGTGGCGTTCGTGATGTTTTGGGCAGTGGCCTCTGGTCCTCTCTGGGCATAGGTAATGGGGAATGGGTAGGCGAGCGGTATATATATCCTAGTATCTTACTTGTCGGGCGCAGGCTGGTCTGCGATACAGTAGCACTGTGTTTGGCTGCTGTTCTTTGTCCCTGTCTGCCCTTGAAAGGTATATGCACTGTTGTGAGTCCCTCGGTGTGACTGCTCATGGAGTAGCGAACTTATTTTTGGTTGGCGATGGAAAGGGCGCAGTCAGCCTGGGGATTTATCGATTCATGACACCAGGAAGTGGCATCACATTGAAGATACGTTGCGTCCACATGGATGTGCCGGGGGCCCCAAGGCCTCAGACCTATCCTACCGATGTCTTGCTACCACGCGTGGTGCTGGTTCCTGGGTCGAGTGCCCTGTCGGGTCATGGGCTGCTCATCTTTGATTTCATGAGCACCCTGTGTTCATTCCTTTCATTCGGGCCATTCTCTCGGGACTGTCAGTGACGCGATAAGGTGCGTAGTAGTGTCTGTGGCCGTTAACCGGCAGGTGTTGGCATTTACTGTTGCCTGTAAACATGGCATTGAAGCATGGTATGGATAATCTATCGTCTTGATGTGATTGGCATACTCTGCATTATATTCCTTGATCGGCGGCGTATCGCACGGCGTGGTATCCATCCTCTAGGGTCATGATATAGAATTCAACGCGAGAGACGTGTCGTGACGCGTTGCTGCCCCCGTGACCGTGGTTCAATTTCTGGTAAGCGGGTGTTGTTGGCCTGGGGCAGCAGCTGGATGGATGGATACCAGGGATACAAAAGGCGACCGATCACAAGCGACAACGCGCGTTTTATTTCTGATCTGCTATAGAATCTGGTTGCCTATATAGTGTGTAGTATGATTCTAATGATTATATGTTATCATAATGCGTTTGGGTTGCGACATCAATGATTTCAAATGGCCATCAACCGGCGTTCGCAGTATAAGAGCTGCGGTTTTGAGTTGAACCCCCCTGTCGGTCGGGTCGGGGCGGGTTGGTCCCCTGGCTCGGGGTGTTTCGGTGTTTTTCGGGGGTTCAACCCCTAGCTGGGTTCAACTTGGAGGGAGCTTGATATACTGTAGGTACTAGATCACAGACTTGGAGAGCAGGACCAACGCGCTGGATTCGATTCTGTGATCTTGCTTGATGTAGAATATGAGGGTTTTATATGTACGATCTAGTCGTATCTACTGGTGTCGATTTTCGTGTGATTCTGTCACTGAATGCCGTAGACAGTCTTGATCTGCTGGTATCATGCCGCCGATGTCAATTATCGTTGATTGATCCTGCGTGATACCATGGCGATCTTATTGCTGGTCTAGGGACCAATGGGGGGCTTGTGTAATTGATTCTGTGTGATTGTCCCGTGGGTTATTATGTTGGTGTGGTTACTATGCGTCGTGTTGGTGAATAGACGTGGGTGAACTAGTATCTTGGATATATATATCGGTAGGGTAGTTCAGTATAACCTTGGGATGATAATTGTCAAAACCACAACCACCGAATGACAAACCCGCAAATACACCATCCATAACAGCCAGAACAACATACCCATCAAAAGCAAAATCAGATACAGCACGCACACATTACAAGCACCATCTGCTGCTATCAAACCGCTGGCCTCGTCGTGATGACGATGACGATAATGATAATGTGATGCCTAAGGCACCAACAAATAGCGGAACTACCGGAGAACGCGTAGCGCGTAGACTATGACACACAACATGCGAAACTCTCAAGCTGACATAGTATTGAGTCAAGTACTGTAGACTAAAGTATAGCATCCAAGATTCTTACTATCGATGGACACCCTCGTATTTGACGGACATGGCATGCACCTCCTACGCGCTCGACCACGACCGCATTGTTCGGGTATGAACAGCACGCGAGCTGCAACATACAAAAAGACACGACACCCACACCGCGAGAAAAAATGGTATAACGAAGCTACGGACGCACAATGGGAGAGATGTGATCATTTTCGACCGTTCGTATTCATATCGGATCGCGTCAAGGTCGCACGATCCTCTTTAGCCTATGGCACCAGCCGAAGCGTAAAAGGCCGCTATGATACAGAAATTCAACCACGACCACCAGCAGACCGGTAGTGGACGCGTAATAGTAAATAAAATACGACAAAGCAAACCCAGACCCATGATACTTGTAATAAAAAGATCAAGAACACCCCAACGTCCCAGTCATACCATGAACCAACCCGAAAAAGCAACCCGTCGCGTCACTGCTGCGGAAGGACAACTGACGCGCCGACCGCGCAGGATGGCTAAAAAGAAACAAGCAGGAAAATAAAAAAGGCGTTTAACCACCGAAACCGTAGAGGGTACCTGAGGAATTCCATGTTAGACGCGTTGGACACACAAAAGCCAAAACGTGTGGTACTTACGGCCCTGTCTCTTAAGAGCATAGACGACGTCGAGGGAGGTGACGGTCTTGCGCTTGGCGTGCTCAGTGTAGGTGACAGCGTCACGGATGACACCCTCAAGGAAGGTCTTGAGGACACCACGGGTCTCCTCGTAGATCATGGCAGAGATACGCTTGACACCACCACGACGAGCGAGACGACGGATAGCGGGCTTAGTGATACCCTGGATGTTGTCACGCAAGATCTTGCGGTGACGCTTGGCGCCACCCTTGCCGAGACCCTTTCCACCCTTTCCACCTGTTGAGACGCGTCAAGTCAGTCACTGTTGATCATGGAGTAGACGGCAGTGGACAATCTATCGAGATGATAGATAGCCCATGATGGGAAGTGATGAACTTACGGCCAGTCATTGTGAAGGTTGTCTAAAAAGTAAACGGAAATAGAGTTGAATTAAAGTTGAGGGTGAAGATGGTGGAGATAAGTTAAGCGTTTTAGAGTGAGGATGGATGTAAAGGGAAGAGGGCAGAGAGCATCCATGGGACGGGAGATATTTGTATAGCAGAAGGCGCGCCGCGGGGAGGGCGTTGGAATCACACGCTAGAGCGCGGATCGACCAATCAGAGCGCAGGATCCCGGCCGGCGGACTGATCTGGCGGCAACGTGACCGGGCAGGGATGATTCCGCTGGGATGAGACTGATTCCCACGGGAATGCTCCCAACCACCCAGATCAGCAATCAGAGGGTGTCAGGGACATTCCTGTCGATGGCCATGAGCATCTGCAACAGGTTGATAGGATCACATTCCGGGCCTGAGGTTGGGATCAATGTGAGGCAGGGGCAGCTTCTAGATCCGTGATCCTGGCTTCCTATTGGCTGGCGGGCATTAGGGCGCTCGCTTAGCGCTCCGAGCAGGCAGAAAGGGGACTGACCGCCTTTGGGCACTTTTGATTTTCCCAGCCAAAAGTGAGCCCCGAAATCACGGCTTATGGTGTGCTGCTTTCCGAACACTTTTTCGATCAAAGGAACGGCACGCTAAGGCCCCCTCCCTTTGCTGGCAAACCCAGATCACCACCTACCCTTTCGCTTACTACAAATACCTCTCCCCACCCGCCTCCTCCATCCTTCTTCCATCTCCTCATCCCGTCTACCCTTATCTATCAACCTCCATCAATCTTTCATCCTCAACGTCATCTTTCCATCTCTAAAACAACTAAATCCATCAAACTTAATCCACTAAGATGGCCCGCACTAAGCAGACTGCCCGTAAGTGCAACCTCACTGTCCTTTCCCCTCGTGTCGTTCGACCGCGTCATGGTCGCGACACCCGTGTCTCACATGAGGAACATCATCACTAACTATCATCTCAATATAGGTAAGTCCACTGGTGGCAAGGCTCCCCGTAAGCAGCTCGCCTCCAAGGCTGCCCGTAAGGCCGCTCCCTCCACCGGAGGTGTCAAGAAGCCTCACCGTTACAAGCCCGGTATGTATACACTCATCATTCAAAGTGGCAAATGGCCTATCCGAACAGTCAACTAACAGTCTACCAAAGGTACCGTCGCTCTGCGTGAAATCCGTCGTTACCAGAAGAGCACTGAGCTCCTGATCCGCAAGCTGCCCTTCCAGCGTCTTGTCCGTGAAATTGCTCAGGACTTCAAGTCGGATCTCCGCTTCCAGTCCTCCGCCATCGGTGCTCTTCAGGAGTCCGTCGAGGCCTACCTCGTCTCCCTCTTCGAGGACACCAACCTGTGCGCCATCCACGCCAAGCGTGTCACCATCCAGTCCAAGGACATCCAGCTTGCCCGCCGTCTCCGTGGTGAGCGCTCTTAGATTTACTTCTAATGAGTCGATTCTTTTTCTGGTTGGGAAGGCGATAACGGGGTTTCTTTTTCTTTAATTTTCATGACTACTGGCGATACATGATGGGTTTGCGAATTTTAACGGGTTTCGGCACTGGGTTTTCGTTATTTCTTGCTGCGCAATAAATAGTAGCTGCCGATTCAGCGGCTGGGTGGAATTGATCATGGGGATGCATCCGAATATGTACATTAAAGAAAGCTTTTATTCGACGTGACTTCCTTCGGGAGCGCCACCGGATGGCATAGACGCGAAATGCAGTATCTATGGAACAATCCAACCCGGTTTGAGATCGCGATGTTGTACTCTGTAGACGCGTAGAATTAGTGACACGGTCGCAGCCTGGTGCTGCCTGCCGTGGGTGGTCGCACGCTACCCCGGTCGGCTACAGTACGACGGCAGATCTACACTGCAGGGTTGGTGAGGTTGAAGACATGCTAGTTAGGAAGTACGGATACTAGTGATTTGACTTGATCTCCTTGCTGCCAGAGCCTGCGTTCGATCTACGAAGCAAACTAAGGTCTGTCAATCTGCGACCGTGAGATGCCTCCAGCAATGTAACGTCGGCGTGTGATGCTTCGATTCTTACCACCGTTTCCGTTACTTTTCCAGTCTAATCATCTACGTTCCTTATCATGATGTTGCAATTATGGAATTCCAGATTCATCTCTGATATTAGGCCATTAACAATTTCCATGGCTAACTGCAACCTTCTGAGCCAAAACTGGATGACGACAGCAAGAACGGCTGGGTGATGTGGCATTTGGTGCAGAACCAAATTTGCCTGCGAGTCACCGGGTCGCCACCGTAAGGGGTCAGTTGGTTTCTGGGTGTCTACTGGGTGATTCTAGCAGCACAACCATTCATCTAAAATCTCTATGGTAATATATCTGCATGTATAGCCTGGATGAATAATAAATAATAATTCAGATACGAATTGGCTTCTCTACATATTGGACATTTCGCGTCTACACTAGGTAGCTTGAGAGGGTGGGAGGCAGCCTACATTACGCGCCCGCCGCCGATGAGATTCCCTGTCCAAAACTTGAATGAACTGAGTGATGGTTCGCAATTCAAGGAGTAATAGCGGGTATCTGCAGCTGTCCTGGGAGAAATCACGTAGGTAGGATCTCCTCTTTTCAGTCGGCTCTATAATGGCGAATCTCTCATATGGGAATTCCCTGCGGAGGACTCCGTAGTCTGTGCATTGCCGGACCAGAGTTTTCTCCTAAGTAGGATTATTCTTTTCGGATTGCTACCTTTGCTGGACGGGCAACTTAGAAGACTCTCTCGAATATTCTTCGTACGCTGAGGCAATCACACGGCCAGACTCGTCGATTCGCCACCACGACCACCGAATCCTTTCGGGATGCCACGACCACTACCTCGTAAGTAACCCCTCCCTTACAATGCGATAAGAGGCACGGATTACCGAGCAGCAACGAATCGTTTGATATGCTAAGTTATATAGGGGCGATGAATGATGTATCGAAGCTTTAGACGACAAAGATCATCATCGGAGAATATAATTGGAAGGCCAGTGGATAGGTAGGTTGAACCCGGGCCGCCGGGTCGCGGCATCCCGTTCATCTGCAGATTCGTTGACTGGCTATCCTATACAAATATCCTTGGTACCATGGGAGGGAATTCACTATAACGGTATGGGCAATGTTGAGGTCGAAAATTTGCCTAAATATACTGTCGATTGTATTGCAACTTATCGGAGGTTACTGGATGTTCGATGTGCTTGACGCGATCACTATCGAAGCGTGTACCCTTTCAAGTAAACGGTCAGCGCGCGTGTCATTATGGGGAATAGGATAGACTTCTTGGCTCAATGATGTAAGAGAGTCCATTAGATTCTGATGATATTATCTTCTTTCCTTCATTTTCTCGGATCACGATCAGTATTCTACAGATATATGTACGTAGTAGTTCTGCACGGATGACCATGACGTTTGCTCAGGCGCATATCGGGCGGGGCGGCGGGGACGGACTTAACCCGCATCTTAGGCAATCTCGGGGGTGGGCGATAGCACGGATAATAGCGTATTTAAGTATGGCGATTCGTAACCAGAATTGTATATGTTGGCAATTTTCGACAATGGCATTCTAGTGATAGAAGAGAATACTACTACAATCTTCTCCCAATGGATTAGTGAGAGCTCAAATAGCATCGATTCATGGATTGGAATCGCTCTGCGGGCCCGTTGCGAAAATATATACAGCAGGCGCCAGATCACATCCCTCATCAGGAACTACAGTTTGAGTATTACCACTGATTCGAAAGCAAAGAGACTGGTTTCCTAATAATCCACATCAAAAACAAATACAACATTTTCTCTAACTAAATGTCATCAAACCTGTCCGTTTAGCAACTCCTAAGGCATTGTTGGAACTTCGGAGAAACCTAACATGGCACATAGTACTGGGTCGTGCCGGACCGGGGTAATATTCCCCTTGCGTGAGGCGCGCTGCTTATCCGGCACCGCTCTCTTTGACCAACGCGAACATTGATACTTCTGACCACAAGTAAGATCTGTGACTGTAGATCACAGCATTATCTTGGACACACAGAATACAGACATCTTAGGTATGTTATACTGTCCTGCATCGGCAAGGAGCCAAGTTGACTGCTTGATGTTGTTTCTCACACATCATGCTTATCTGTAGGTTGACCAGCACGTTCAATGCCAGATCAGTATCGCGATAATTAATCCTTGTCTTCGAAACATGTCGAGATTTTCAGTCAGGTATCTGATACAATATTCGATATATACATTCCGGGAATCCCCAAGCTCGGCCTGGAACTGAATAACTGTTTATAGGTAGCCTGGGAGATGGAATTGGTCTGACTTCAATGATCGACATTTTGAGTAAGATCAACAATGTTTTTGTTGCCATGACTCAAGGTCAAGTTGCGGTCACTTGAATTTAGCCGGAACGATCAGACGCTTCAGCTGAGCAATACGAACAACTTCGCGTATCGAGATATCACCGGCTATGACCGACACGCAATCGGATAATACAAACTTCGAAATCGCGCTAAGCTAGTGATCGTCCACAACTAACTCCATCACCCAAAGCCAATGACATTGTGCTATCCAAGATATTGCATCTCCGCTGGCCCAACAAGCGATGCAGATACTCGATAAATTCTACGATAGGCCCAACAAAAGAAGTACATGTTGCACAGAGAGACCGGGGCCGGAGTTTCGATTTGAGCACGGACCGCGTCTGTAACCTGGCTGCCTGAAAAAGCAACAAGACCACAGCATGAATAGATTGCCAGCGCGAGTGCCCGAAGTTGGATACATCACAATCATACACGGCGTGCGCGATCGGAGCCTGATTTAGCCCGTTGTTGGAATTGTCGCCATGTCCCGCCTCGTAACCCGTAGCACGAGAGTGGAGGATCAAATATCGGCCAATGCAATCCAATTTCAGACCAACTTATACCTGTCGCAGATTCGTCCATATCACTACTCTTATTTCCAACTTGCATGCGCCATTGAGGCTGATGCGGTTCGTACATATGGCCATGAATCTGAGTCGATTGTTCTCAGTAGTTCATCGGTCTCTTCTACCACTCATGCCAGGCATTAGTAATCCCTACTGAATGACTCGCATCTGCGTGAGACAAGATTCATCAGCTCTTCGAAGCAAACCTTAAGGGGAGTGGGTCAACGGGATGGCCGACAGATCGCAACCTCGGCAGATTTGATATGAACCTTGATTGAGTGATCAGCAACATGGACTTCGATATTTAATCATGTCCGTTAGATATTGGGGTCAATGGTGTCAACCTGTGCCTGGCGATAGTGCCAACCTCCCATGTCCAAGGATGGGGAAGCTATGCAATTTTGAAACGCTCGACTCCAAGTTAGCAAGGATTTGTTATGATTCCTTGTCTCACTACGATAAGTAGGGTGACAATAATTAATGTCGACCAGCAGACTAGCTGGTGCCTAGCTTGTCACACACCCAGACAGTCACACGGTCCACGAATGACCCTGGGATCAGACGACATCGGATACATCACCCAAACGAGCGCATGCGTTGACGCTGTGCAGATGACTGCTGCATCACTGGATTTATGCCGTCGGAATCCCTCCGCCAGCTGGGCCTGCCCGCCTTCCAATCTAGGCAGGAAGTGGTCCCATCAGGCCCGGATTGGCTTAGTGACCCATGGATCATCTGCCTTCTAGAAGCCACGCTAACCACAAAAAGGCCAATATGCGACTGTGCATAAAATCTTTGCTTATCAACCTTTTGTTTTTCTCTTGTGTGGGCGGTGAGGGCATAGAGAGTCATGAAGAAGTTAACGCCACTACGGAGTGGTAATTCTGATGATCGGCATCCTGCAGCTCCAACAATGGGCTCTCTCTGTCCGGCTCCGAACAACTTCTGCTCGGCAGTTTTTACCGTAACTCAATCTGACCTACAATCGGGCATGAGCTCGTAACTATCAGTCTTCATCGCAGTTAGCACTGTCTGTGCTACGTGGCCTGGAAACAGGGAGTCTAGAAGATGTCTAGCGATATTGTTCACTTATCTCTGAACCTCGGTAAGTTGACGAAAGACAGCTCGAGAAACTTCCTACCCAACGGGAATGACGCCCCACTATCGGACCTGGACTAATAGAGGAACGAAATTGCGAAAGAAATTATCCCGAATGACTCCTCCTGCCACGAGGTCCGCAGTTTCGCCCATGGATCCTCAGCCGCCTGGGCTGGTTCGGTCCACCTCAGCCGAGCCCGATCAATCTCGAGGCCCTCGACATGGCCTCCACCGCGAGCTAATGCGGTGCATAACTCCGGTCTAATGTACAAACATCGGCTGCATGCCCCTTTTCCGTCTCGGGTGGGCTGTGCTTCCCTGGGTCAAAGGGCCTACCGCGCAGCTCGTCTCCGTTCGCCTTGATTGAAACCGGTGCTGATCCCGAGGCTAAATGCAAACGATTAGTCGTAAGTGACGCCGCTTGGCGCTCGATGGGGGGTGGGAAGCAACAGAAATTTCGTGGACCCCATTTGATCTGTATATATAACCAGGGGTCCATCCTCGATCACCCCTATGGAGGAGACTTTTGCAACCTTGTTTTAGGGTAGTGATCAGCCTGGTTATCTTGATCTGACGTCTTCGGCCGTTTGAGATCATCCCCTACTACATCCAGACCAGCATCTTCCTAAACCTTGACATCTTTCTCGACGTCCAATTACACCTCGGCTCTCCCGCTTGTTTACTAAACACCGCAACCATTTCACCGTCACTCGTACTCATCCCCCCTCATATCGCAAGCAAACTTCGGCCCTCCCATATGGCAACCGAGAAGGGGGATAGCGGGCCCTCAGTGATTGAGGCGCCTGAGAGTCGCACAATCCCGTTCTGGCGTCTACTCACCGACCAAGGTGTAGTAACCCAGGAGATCATCGATCACCACTACCCTGGCTCTGGCACGGAAGAGGATCCTTATGCGGTAACATGGCTTCCCAATGATCCTCGCAATCCGATGCAGTTCAGCGCGGTCAAGAAATGGTCCTTCACCATGGTGATGGCCCTCGCAACCCTGGCTGTTGCTCTGGTCTCGTCAGGTTACACTGGTGGTGTCATTGAGATTGAAGAACAATTTGGAATCGGCACAGAAGTCGCAACGCTCGGTGTCTCTCTTTTCGTCCTCGGTTTCGCAGTTGGTATGTCTTTCATATACTTGTGCAATGCCCCCCGCATACAACTAACAAGTACTAGGCCCCTTGCTGTGGGCCCCTCTCAGTGAGATGTTTGGCCGGCAGGTCATCTTCTTCTTTACGTACATGGCTCTTACTGCCTTCAGCGCAGGCAGTGCCGGCTCGCAAAACACGTGGACCTTGATCATCCTCCGCTTCTTCGCTGGTTCCTTCGGATCGTCTCCCATGACCAATGCAGGTGGTGTCATTGCCGATATGTTTGCTGCCAAGGATCGTGGTATTGCCACGAGTCTGTTCGCTGCGGCTCCTTTCCTTGGTAGGCTCCACTCCTGAATGTCTCAAGTCTTATCACCTGCAGCTAACATAATCACTTTAGGTCCCGTTCTTGGCCCCATCATTGGCGGATTTCTGGGAATGAATGCGGGATGGAGATGGGTGATGGGCTTCCTCGGTGCCTTCTCTGGATTCGTCTGGATCGTTGGTTCCCTCACCGTCCCCGAGACCTATGCTCCAGTGCTTCTTCGTCGCCGCGCCGAGAGACTGAGCAAGCTCACTGGTAAGGTGTACCGGAGCAAGCTGGATATCGACCAGGGCAAGACGACGCTCAAGCAAGCATTCAAGACCGCCCTGTCCCGTCCGTGGATTTTGTTGTTCCGGGAGCCAATTGTGTTCCTGTTGTCTCTTTATATTGCCATTGTCTACGGTACCCTGTACATGTTGTTTGATGCCTACCCCATTGTTTTCGAGGAGTACCGTGGCTGGAACCAGGGAGTTGGCAGCTTGCCTTTCTTGGGAATCATGGTTGGCATGCTTGGTGCCGTCGCCTACAACATCTGGGATAACAAGCGCTATGTCCGGGTACAGGAGAAGCACGGTGGCTTTGCGCCCCCGGAGGCCCGTCTACCTCCCTGCATGGTGGCCTCTTTTGCTGTCCCGATCGGTCTCTTTTGGTTCGCATGGACTGACGCTCCATCAGTTCACTGGATGGCCAGTATCGCTGCCGGTGCTCCATTCGGCTTTGGACTGGTTCTGGTGTTCCTCAGCAACCTCTCTTACCTGATTGACACGTACACTATCTTTGCCGCGTCTGTTCTGGCGGCCAACTCAGTCATGCGGTCCATCTTCGGTGCCGTGTTCCCTCTGTTCACCACCTACATGTACGAGAACCTCGGTATCCACTGGGCTACCTGTGTCCCGGCTTTCTTGGCTGTTGCCTGTGTGCCGTTCCCCTTCCTCTTCTACAAGTACGGCCCTGCTATCCGCACTCGTTGCAAGTACGCCGCCGAGTCCGACGCGTTCATGCGCAAGATGCTGGCGCAGCTCACGAAGAAGCCTGAGCCCGAGGAGGAGGTTACGGCGGAAGAGAAATTTGACCGCACCGAGGCCCCGGCTCCTGCGGTAGAGGCTGACGACTCCGACTCTAGCACCGAAGCACACATGCCTGAGGCCCACCGCACTCAGAGCAAGGCTTCAGTTCGGACGGCCAAGCAGTCCCTCTACGAGGGCAACCCCTACGATATTGACCGGGTGCACACCCGCGAGTCATTCAAGCAATGAGTCTAGTCTCCATTTTGCGGGACCTGACTCGGCCATACGTTTATTACCGACCTTGTGAATAATCTTTAGTACTTATTACACCCTACTCCACACCTTCACCCTCGACACTTCCATATGTATATATGGGCCTGTGTCAACCCGAGATGCGAATGATGGCAAGAAGAAAAGTCTGTGAATTGTTAGATGACTTGCATGGTGATTGATATACCCAGTTTGATGTTTGCTTTGGCATTTCAGCTCGCATTAGCATGATAGATGGCGGTGATTTTTATTGAACGCATTAGGGGGTTCATACAGCCCTACCAGTGATATAATGAGATAATTGCAGTATAATTTGACAATATATAGTATGACTCTACTATTGTTTTTAAGGCTGTAAGCAATCGAATCCTTCCTTTGTAGTTAACGAAAGTTAAGCCTCCCGGATAAGTGACTCCGGGACGACCGCTATCTCCGACCGATCGGAGGGAGATAATCTCTCCCCGACCTTCGGCTACCGCGGGCTTATGCGCTGCCGACGCTGATAGCCTTCGAAACTTTTTTCCCCCCAAGGCAGTCTTAGACTAATTCGTTAATCTGTCACCTCTTCCTTTTCTTGCACATATCTACCTGATCTTCATTTTGAACGATACATCTCATCGGGCTTCTCGCTGGCTGGTGGCTAACGCAGCAAAGACGTGGCTGCTCTGCTTCGGGACTGACTAGTTAATACTTATCGCCTTGCGCCCGTCGAGTCATTAACTTATTCTCCTTGGGGGAAGTTCGTCAGCAGGACAACCTACGACTCGCCTTTTCTTCATACCCCCAACTTCTCCAAACACCGTCTTCCTTTTAGACATATTCGCTCATATCGAAAATCTATATATACATCATTACTCCTCCCTCAGCGACATCACAACCCCACCACAATGAACAACCACGCCCTCCTCATCCGCCGAATACAACCACTCCGGTCCCTGCGACGTCAACCACCACGAAGACACCTCTCCTCCACCCCCCGCAACGCTGAACCTCACCATAACCCCGTCCCTGAGAAACATCACACTCCCTCGAACAACCCACAGCCGGCTCCCACAGTGCCTGGCCCGGTCGCATCGACCACCGCCGCCCCCGGGTCGGTATCCGCATCGCGAGCACTCATCCAGAGAATCCAGGCCGGTCCGGTAGGACGAGTGGCGCGAGCGTATGCGCGCGTGCAGGAGAGACGACCCTACCGGACACAAGTGATCAGTACGATTGTGGTGTATCTGTGTGGTGATTTGGGGGCGCAGTTGTTGTTTCCGCCGGATAATGGTTCACCCCAGGATGTGCAAGCAGGTGATCAGAAGCACGAAGCAGGAAATAATGCCGGAGGAATTGGAGGAGGGTATGATCCGTGGAGGACGGTGCGCCATTTAACAGTAGGAGTGGGGAGTGCAATCCCGACGTATAAATGGTGAGTGTCGCAGTGTATGGTGGGGATGTCTATGTGATGATGGCTAATACGAAGGGAGATTTAGGTTCATGTTCCTGCACAACAACTTCAACTTCTCGTCCAAGTTCCTCTCTATCCTTACCAAGGTCTGCGTGCAACAGGCGGTGTTCACTCCCGTGTTCAATACCTATTTCTTTGGTCTGCAGTCGTTGATGACGGGCAAGTCGTTGGAGGAGACTTTTGAACGGCTCAAGGTCGCTTTGCCGACGAGTATCTCGAACAGCGTGAAGCTGTGGCCGGCTGTCACGGCTTTCAGCTTCATGTATGTGGCGCCTCAATTCCGGAGTATCTTTTCCGGAGTCATTGCTGTTGGGTGGCAGACGTATCTGAGCTGGTTGAATCAGAAGGCGGCGCGCAAGGTCGAGGCGGAAAGATTGGCGTCGGTGGAGGTGGGTGCTGGTGCTGATGCTGGGGTTGGTGCGGTCGCTATGAAGGCATAATTGCCAGATGATCTCTCTTTCTTTCCATTTTCCTTTGTGTGATTGATTTGACTCGGATATCCCTGCGATGTATGGCGGATTTGGTTTGGTATAGATATAGACTCCCTCGGTTATGGATTAGCCGGCAACCTGTTTTAGATGAGCAGTACATAGATAGACGTGAATAGAGACCACTAGCAGAGATACCCTCTCTAACGATTGAGACATCACGATAATAAAAGAAGAAATGGTAGCTTCGACTGTCACTACAATATTTATGGCCTGATAATCATATGACGTGAGAGGATCCGAGCGCCAGACCCGAACTTTGAATCTCGTCCCGACGACTTGCGCTCTTCCGTTCAACGCCATCTCCCACCGCACGCGGTATGATCCCCTCCCTCGCATTGCAGGCATGTCCTGCCCTCCACCAGCATCTCCTATAATCCCCGGCGCCTTCGATGACAGCGACGACAGCAGCAGCACCACAGACTACGGCTCCGACTTCTCCCCGGAAGAAGACGCGCTGCTGACCGACCTGCTCGCCAAGATCGCCCCGGATCGCCACGCGATTACCACCACTGCCCCAGCAGAAGCAGCAGCGCATCCACCTCCATCTCAGGTCGCACCCGTCATTCGAGACATCGAAGACCAGTATGCGGATCCCTCGAATAGCTGGGTACCTAGGGTCCTGGGGCGCGAGAAGCCTACATGGCCGCAGCGGAATTGGGCGAATCGGCCGGGTGGCGGCGGCGCAAGAGCAGCGGCGATTCCAGGCTACGGTCGTGCCGCGTCTGGTAGTTTCCCCTTCCCTATGGCTATAGTTGTTTGTGGACTGATTGGACAGTTGGGCTGACGTTGGAACTCCCTCGAAGCGTTTAGTTGAGCATCCGAATTCGACAGAAGGGCGCGAGAGAGATCGCGAACGCGAGGCAGCTCGTCATCAGGAACGGATAGAGAGGGAGAATAATGATATTAACAACAGCAATAATAATGATAATATTGAGGTGGACACAAGGTCACCTGTGGAACGATTTCGACGGCCTCCGAATAAAGCCTTCTCAGTCACGGATCTGATCTCGCCGGCGTGGTGTGAGCTACAGTATTGGTATACGCTGACCAAGTTTGGGCGCAAGCGGAGGACACCGGCGATGAAGTTGGGAAGTAATATCCACAAGACTCTTGAGGATGAGATCTACACGACCGTTCCGG